CTGGATATTGATCATTCCACATAGTGAAAACGTAGTTAAAAGAAACAATCTGCTCTATATTGTTTTTTCTACGCGGCATGATGTTGTCTGGTTCCACTACTAACCATCAATAACAGAACGATGGAAGTTCAAGTCTAACACCAGACATAAAAGACATAGTGATAGAATAAGAAGAGAATGTTACAGCACCTATTTAAGGCGAGTATGCACCAACTGATAGACTTCTGACGGGATCGAGAGCCAAGCAGTCCACCTCAACAATTTTGAATCCTCCATGTCATGATCACCAACTTCACCATCCCGGATTCGTAGTCTTCCATGCCGTCCACAATCTTCGGGAAAGCACCCCCTTATGCAGGATTTCAGCCCCATCATGCAACAATTCACCCGTGTTAGATTTATTCATTCCCACCCACTATTTTGGAAAGGCGCAAGTCTAACATATCAATTCAACCGGCGATCGAACCACTTGGTCTCAAAGCATATATAGATTGTTTCTAATATTGCATATTGCCGATGGGCATGGCACACCTTATTGTTGTAGCCTAGTCCCCACCCGCATCCAAAGTTGAAAGTGCCGATGGCTTAACAGAAGGACGTGAAAGCCGTCCGTGTAGACGGTCTGTTAAAGAAGCTGCCAACAGGTAGGAGTTATTATGATGACACGCTCATCATCCATTCCATTCCTCCTGCTACACGTACATGCTGTTCCCGGTGGGCACACCTCACTATAAAGTACAACCCTTTCCGTCTCGTCATCAATCAAATATCACACGCACGAACATACCGTCACATGCCATTGGGAGCTGGGGACTGTGCTATCCTAGTGGGGCAGCAGTAGTACCCGTTGTTGGGGCGTTTGGAACATTCCCTGCCACTGCCACTGTTAGCTAGTCCACGTATGCCAAAGCGGCAGCTCGCAGCATCCGAATCAGTTGGGTCAGTCGATCGGTCAGCAGTGACCAGCGAGTCAGTTGCTACAGGACATGGTGGCGATGCTGATGCGGGCAGGACATGGCAGGCCCTGCTTGCTTAATTGCGACCGGAGCAAGGCCACAAAAGGAGCAGGAGCAGGGGCAGCACAGGACAAGCGGCCGTTGCAGTCGCAAGCACAGGGTCCCTCACAGGTGCACTGCACACATTGGATGGAAGGCGGCATCGGTCGACGCACAGACCGTGACTTGTTCGTTGCCCTATCCGGCCGGCAGTGCCCACTGGTGTCGGCTGCCCGCCTGCGAGTCAGCAGCATTCGGAAGGTCGGGTCAGACTGGCTGGCCGGCAGACGTGATGGTGGTAGCAACGTCACATGCATGCACGGGCTGGATCAGCTAGCTGCATGCCCAATCACAGGCTTTGCTTGCTCCAAGCTTCTTGGACAGATAAGGTAAAGCGACCGAACAACCTTTCCAATCGTATCCAGAACTGCCACGCTACTGGTCAGTCCTACCGTTGAATGCTGATGCTTTCCTTTCTGTGTGCGTGCGTGCGTTTGTTTTATAAATGCAAGCAAAAGTGGGAGGGTCATTTGATCTGGTCACATCATGAGCGCCCTTTTTGTACTTTGCGTCACTCACTCACTCACTAAGCTCGAACGTGAGAGTGAGAGGATCAAATAATCCCAGCCTTTTGTTGGATGGGAACCTCCTTTCTTTCTGGTCTCTCTCTCTCTCCTCTAGTCTAGAATTAAAACCAAACACACGTCCGGCTAAGCCTGGCTTGAGGTTGACTTGAGTTGGCCGGCTCTTTTCAAGCTGACATGGACACCCTGC